AAATGCTACCAAAAGCATTTTATTAAGGCTTACATCAATTATAGTACAACAGTTAATTATAGCATGATATATTGCTAATTATTTGCTAAATTAGCTTAGCAACATAATTTATTTTTAATAATTTTATTTCAATCTAAACGGTACTACTAGTTACTTACGTTTTACTTTTTATTCCAATTTAAGCAGTACTATCAGTAAATTTTATTCCATTGTCATTACTAAATTTATCAAAATTTTCAAAATCAAAAAAAATGAAAAATCTAAAGTATTTGAAATGTATATAAGTTCAAAATAATATTATAATTGCATAAATAATCGTGAAAATTGTTTGAATGACTAGATTTTGAGCAAAAAAAAAGAAATTAAAGCATTGAAAATACCATAAATAATTAATAAATGATAAGTTATCAATTTTTTTTTGCGAAGTTACACATTTTATATATTTTGATAGGAAATAATATTTAAATGATAAAATCAAAGTAATTTTTGACAAAAAAAAAACAAACAAATAAATAAATAAAATCGGATGGTATCAATGAAAAGTAGAAATATGCGAAAGAATGCAAATCGAATTTAAACAAAATTTCAGCCGGTTTCTTGGGTGCAAAGGTGCTTGTGTAAAAGGTACTCCGATGACATTTGTCGCATACAGCATTCTCCCATTTCTTAAACATATCACTACAACTACTGCTATCATGAGTGATATTTTTTTCATTTCCTTTTTGTTTTCAGTTCTTTACTAAAATTTAAAATTTTTTAAAATCAAAAATTAAAAAAGAAATTTTTTATTGTGTGAAGAATAATTGAAATGAATCATTGCAAACTTATTAATTTGATTTATAACCCAAAAATTATCCTTAAATGCAGTGCAGTTATCTATAAAAAAAAAAAACAAACCTATTTGGAAATTGCTAATTTAAATTAGTAAAAGAAGTAAGCAGAAACGAGAAATTATCATATATTTTACAAATCTTTGATATAATTTTGTTATTAAAATTTTGCACTTAATGTAATCAGAAAAAAATTTACAAATTTTTCAAATTTTTGAAAAAATATAAATTTGAATTCAATCAAATATTTATACTTTTAATAAAATTTTGATATTTATAAAGTGACGAAATTCGATATTTTTTATTTCAAAGAAAATTTCGTTTTGTTTTCTTTTTTTCGTTTCCAAACGATTCAACAGCATTTCCTTTAACATTACATAGATTTTAACAGCAATGTAAAGAAAAGAATCAAAATATTATCAATTCTATTCAATATCAATTATTATATTAATTCTATTCTGTTAATTATATATTCATGTCATTGTGTTTGTCAATGCAATGAACATTACCATTGAAGTAATCATTTAAAAAAGAAAAAAAACAATTAATTATTGATAGCAGAAATTGTATCACTTCTCTTACTCCGTTTTTATTTTTATAACATTTTAACTGATTATTTGAAATGTTTTAATCAATTTTGATATAAATTAAAATATCAACAAAGCAAACTTGTTTACATTAATTTGATATCATTGGTTTGTTGTTGGTGTTGTTGTTATTGTTGTAATAATGGAAAATTTGAATGAACGAATAATCCATTGAAAATATTCATTTTAAGCAAAAATCAAAGCAAAAAGCAAAAATTAAACCTCAAATGAAACTGTTAATAAGCTAATTAATCAAATAAATTAATCGTAAAGAGATCGGATGTACTATGTGAAGCATTTTTTTCTTAATTTCATATTACAGAAAAAAATTCAATGATTGAAATATATGGAAAAGTAATTTATGAACGCATAAATTTGTAGTATTCTTAATTTTTTTCTTTGTTAATAAGTTCAACAAATAATAAACAAACTTTTACATTCAAATTAAATGTTAGAAAGGGAATCACACCAAATTGATTCATTAAGTAGTTTTTAACCCTCATTAACTTCAAGACTTAATTAAAAACTTTATCATTATTAATAATAACATTGATATTACTAGCAATAGTAGTAATTGCAATGATAATTGTTTATTTAAATAGACACATTTTAATTACTTGAAAGTTCAACTACTTTTTTTTAAAGTTATTCTTTGATCCCTAATTGCATTTCAATTTTCCATATGATGTGCCCAATGAAATAGAATGTAATGAATTGCACCTGAATTAATTTATTTCTAATTTTTGCATTATATGTAGAATGAACATACAAACACTCATTACGATATCTATCAGAAGTGGATTACAAGAATAGTAAATAAATTAAAATAGATTACATGAATAACAAATAAATTAAAATGGATTACAGGAGTAATAAATAAATTAAAATGGATTATAAGAATAATAAATAAATTAAATAAAATCAAATTTTGTTAACAATAAAAGGATGCTTCGAATTCTGTACCATTAATGAGAAAATAGACCAAATTTCATTAAATTCTATCAATATCGCAAAATATTTTCGAATTCTATACTATTAATTAAAATGCTTCGAATTTTGCACTATTAATCAAAAAATAGGTCGAATTAGACTACACTCTATCAATACGATATAATGATTCAAATTCATCTTATCAATCAAATACTTTCCAATTTCGAATTTTTGATTACAAATTAAAATAAATTAGATCATAGAATGCTTTTAAACTTCGCTACTATCAATGAAAACAAAGATCAATTATATACAAAACATTATCAGTATAATAGAATTTTGTGTGATCAATCTGGATGCTTTCAATTTTATACCAATAATCAAAATTTGGATTTGAATTAAATTCGATCAAACTGTCATTTCTCTATTTCTTTTTTTTCTTTGATAAACTTTCAAAGCAAAAAATTTATTTTATTTTCTTGAAGACATATTTTACTTATCATTTTTTATTTCTATTTTCTTTGGGTTCATTCATTTGTTGAAGTATAAAGTAAAATTTTGCAAGCGATAAATTGATGTCGAACATTAACTTTTTCATGGATAGAAGAAAAGGAAGTAATAAATAAATTGATGTCAAGCTGAGAAGAGAAGTATAGAACTTGAAAAACGGAAATGAAAGATTTAAAAACAAAAAAAGAAAAAAATGCGAAGTTTTGAATTAAAGCTTTAATAAAACAGAGAAGGTAAAAAAGAGTTGAAAAAAAGTTTTCTGAGTTATTTTTGAAAAGCAATTGCTATTAAAATATTTTGTCACAAGAAATGTTTACTTCTAATCAAAAATGAAAATTAAATCATTAAATAACTTTGAGTAATGCCGAAGGAAAGCACACAAAATTTGGTGAAAAAACTAAAAAAATATTTTAATTTAAAAATATATGAAAAATTAAATTAATTACAGTTTGAAACTATTAAGCTTTATTTCTCTTCTAAAAATTTATTCAATTCAATTTACAGTAAAAACAAATATCTTTTTTTGGCAACAGATGAAAACGGGAAAAAAACAATGATTAGAATTTTCGGCTTTATTTAATACCTTTTCTACTTAATCCATATCATTCATCACTCAGTACTTACTAACTTAATTTCCATCTAACCTTACGCTGACTTGTGAAACAATTTAAAATATAGCTTCAGTCCCAACATGTCCCTGTTTTAATATTATTTTTTTTATATGAAATTTTACGACGATATAGTTTCGAAATTCAAAATTTTAAGAAATAAATTTTTTTTAAAATTGAACAAAGTGATTTTTTGCAACTGATTTAATTTTTACTTATTCAATTGGCGTTTAAATATTTTCATTTTTTTTAATTAAAATAATAAGCAAAATAAAGTTCATAAAAAGAAAAACTCATAACTTTCCCAATCAATTAATTATTTGCTAATTGCTACAAATCACTCATTTATAACTTAATTTAACACCAACTGTTACTAATTATATCGTAAACTAATTGTTAGCATTAACAATTAAATCACAATCATTATCAATCACAATCATCACAATAAATTTCTTCTTCAAATCGGCTTCTTTTTTTTAAAAAGATCACTTTTGTAAAATAATAGAATTTTGATTTATAATTCGTTTTGCATAAATTCTAGAAATGAAGAAAGGAAATTCTGAGTTATTTACGTCATATTTTCATTAAACAAGCTTTTAATTGAAATTTTAATTTTAGAAATTCATA